CCCCCCCCCCCCCCCGCCCCCGTGCGCTTGTCCTCTTCGTGCCCCTCATGGTAGCAGAGAAGCAGGTGCTGAAGCGGTCCCCTACCCAGCCCAAGGGCGCATACGTGGTGAGCATGGGCGACCAGGACGTGGAAACGATCCAGGCGCTCCCCTTCGTCGACCTCGTCTAAACCCTTGCCTTGCTGCTGCTTGGTTGCTGTGCTTTCGCTTCCCCGTTTCGGCTCTCTCTGTCATGGAGATGTCGGTGCGGAACACGCGGCGATGATGCGCGCACCTTGTTGTTGGATCTCAGGTTGGATCAAGAAAGCGGCGTGAGTTGGGCAGGGCAGGGCTCGAGCAGTCTGCGAGTCCCGCTCTCCGCGAGTGCCTTGTTATGTTTGCGGCCTACATTTATTCCCTGTGCCATTGTGAAGCCTTCCCGGGTTTGATGGCCTCGTTTTCCGGAGGAGCGGGGGAAGGGGGGGGGTTCGAGTGGTGCGGCTTGCGGCTTGGACCGTCTTTGGGCGTTTTCGCTTCTTTGGCAGGCAGTGCTTGGATTCTTTCTCGTTTCGGCGTTTTCTTCTCTGGTCTTTGGTCTGGCGTGCTGGCTCCCTAATTCATCAAGCACGAAACTAAACAAATACAAGTGTGATTGCTTCTCGGTTGGCTGGCGGGTGGCGTGTTGGCAGGAAACTACTGTGATGCCGACCACGTGTCGGCCCCGGCCCCGGCCCCGGCTGCTTTCTTATGTTTGTTGGCCATGTGTGTCATTGCCATCCGCGACGCCGCCTCCCCCCGTGCGCGCGCGCCTTGTACCGTTGCACTGATCGGTCGGGGAGCAACGCTGCCGCCCCGCCGTTACCATGCCACCGTCCCAAACACACACATAGACGAGACCGATTGTGCCATCTACTGGTGACTCCCGTTGCCATGCGATCGGCCTGAGCACACGAAACACCACTTCTTAGTTTCGAAGCGCCGTTCTGCTGCCGTGAAGACTGTTGTCAGTCGACCCGACGGACTTGACTGAAACACTGATTATCGTGTTTCGCCGTTAAATCTTGGGATGCCACGTTGGCACCGGAATCAATCGTGGTTTTCTTTCCATTTCCATCGTGCGCGTTTTGTCTCCTCAATCTGTCCCGCTAGCTCAAGCTGGTGGTCCCAATTGACTCTCCTATAATGATATGTAGCTGATTCCAAGGCAACCCGCACAGTGTAGTGTACTGGGATCCCGCACAACAGCAACCTCGGGCATTCCTTGGACAGCAAAGGCAGCCAGCCCCCCCCCCGCATGCTGTTATTTCCGGGGGGTGTACCGGCCAAAATATAAAGGTGTGTTAGTCCAAGCTTCCCGAGAAACCATAAACCCTCGAAAATGCACTCATTGCTACAAGCGCTGTGGTGGATCTTGTAGGCACAAAACTCCGAAGCCTTTTATCACCACAACTGCTGTCGCAAGCTTGCAGATACGAAACCCGTCTCCGCCTCACCCGGCATAAAAGACGTCCCGCAGGCGACTCCACCCCGGCCGCAGCCACTTGAAGGTCTACGGTAGACACCGCTTATCGAGGCAGACGTTACAGCACTAAACTATTCTCTCGCAACGTCAAAATCGCAAACCATGCACCCCTTGGGGTGCCTGACGCAAGCACGCACCATGGAGAAGTAACCCCACCTCACGAGGAAACAAGAGACTAAATGATGATGGTTGACACGGCCACACTGCAGAGAACCTCGCCACTCTCTTGGCAAGCAAATCTAGACCGCACGCCGCTTGCGCGGCGAAAACAACGACGGCAGACAGACAGACTCAAGCATCTGTTTCGGCCACCGCGTCGGTCTCGAGTCGCCACGCCGACGGATCCCACTCGCGCAGAGACCCCAGCAGCAAGTCCGCCCCGGCCTCCAAGAACGGCGACTTATCTAACCTAGGGTCGGGGACGGCGACGACGAGCATGCCCGCGGCCTTCGCTGACCTCACGCCGGACAATGCGTCCTCAAAGGCAAGACACTCTTGGGGCTTCATCCCCATGCGCCTCGCGGCGGCGAGGTAGATGTCCGGGGCGGGCTTGCCCTCGATCACCTTGGAGGGAAGGGGAACGGCGCCGCGTCCGTACGGTTTGAGTGAGGCGTGCGGTGGGATGCGTGTGGGGTGATGTCGGCGTTGTTGGTGGCCGGCATTGCTACATCCGCCACGCAATCGTCTACAACTGAAAGAGCGACTACACGGCGAGATAGACCCGGCTTGCCCTCGATGACGACCCGTCGGTTAAGGAGAGGGGGTGGTGCACCAGTGAAAACGCATGCCGTAGTCGTGCGACCATTGATATCGCATCCCTACAATACCGGGACGGAGGAGCGGTATTCCGGGGTGTCGCCACGGCCCAGGCTACGTGTCACGAGGATGAACCAGAAGCCGGTCATTATCCTTCAGTTTGCAGTGCCAAACCAGCTAGGAGGGCGAGGGAAGGCGCTCGGGCGTGAGTGAAGGGCCTTGTGGCTGTCGATAATACACAACCAACATCGAGGGAAACTGAGAGCGCGACTCAACGATTTAATGGGACGACGCCCATGTAAAGACGAGCGGTATGGCGAATACTAGAACATGAGGTACAAGGCGAGATCAAACCAGCTTCACAGCTGGTGATTTTTTGCGATGATTTCAAAATGTATACTCTTTTACACGTTGGCCTAAGACCACGGAAAGCGTCCGCATTCCTCCGGACCGACACATGGATAGTTAAATGATGTTCAGACCGCAAGCACCCTTGTAACTTCACAACCTCGTTCCGAAATGTACTTTCGCGGGAAAACGTCGGACAAATCAAGTTGTTGCTTGTTGGGGTGAACAAACACCACCAACAACAGCAACAAACAACAACAACAAACTTCCTGCTGTACAATCACCTCAGGATCGTCGCCGGTGACCACGCACTCCATCCGCTCGAAAAGCCCCTCGTGGTTCTGCCTCTTGATGCTGACCGCTGCTTTCGAGCTCGAGGTTGCGATACCCTGTGAAGGACCCTCAGGATGGACGGAGCGCATCGTGATGGCGGCGGGTCAGTTTGGCCATGGGGATTGGGCAGAATAAACTTCGGCGTGATAGCGAAAAACGAAAACACCCGCAACAAACTGCCTTGTCACCGTGTGCACGAACTGGACAACTAGATATCTGTTTGTCTACATCTATATCTGAGCAGCGGCGGTAATTTCTCCTTCAATATCTCGCTTCGGGTCGTTCGCATTGGGTACCGCTGGGGGGGGGGTTACCCGGAGCGGGCACCATCGAAGCGTTCCATCGCATGAACGCTTGTCGGTGACGATGAAAACAACACAGGGAATGAGCCTCTCCAACGACCGCCAACCGCATGACACCCCGTGTGTGTTTGAAGATGCTCGTGTATCACTTGTAATAAGGTCAGCAGACGAGATCAAGACTCCGAGACAACGGCGGCGAGAGAGAGAGTGAGCAAAGCAGCGAGCACTCCCAGAGAGCCAAGCCCCGTGGATCAGCCATACCCAGGCTACTATTATCACTTTCTATCTGCGACACTGCAGAATGCACCAGTCCCGCTTGGTACATCAAAATCCACCCACGCACACACACACGAGCACGGCCTTTCTTTCATCACCTGGGGAACGCCCATGTCCTTCAGGCGTTTTGTCACGGCCTCGGCTCCGTCGCACTTCTTGACCTGAGGGCTCAGCTCGTGGAGGTCGTGCTCCCACTGCGCTCCTAGGTCCTCCCAGGACAGTTGTCCCTCCAATCCTAGCTCTGAAGGGCCACGTAGACAGTCGAGGTTGGAAGTGTAATTCGAGACGTTGTCGTTGATCACAAGCATTGGAATACACAGCCCCAGCATCATACGCAGGACAGAAAGAACAACACGGGGGTACTATCGCTCAAAAAGTTAGAATGCCGTCCTTTGAGACAGAGAAACAACGCGGTGCAATTTTTTCTTTCGCTTCTGTAGCTTGGGGTGACAGCGAGTGGGAAGAGCATGCAAGTGCGCCACGAAGGCGTGTGGGAAGGCACACAACGCTCGCGTTGATACCCTTGATTATGCCAAAAGCGTCCCCTCACGTCGCTCTCTCACTTCCCGGCGCCGGTGCCACGCAGCAAGAGCGCAACGAACCGTTGACTTGCACTGAGAAACCCGCTGTGAGATAAGGGGGGGGGGATTCAATTCGCCGGCGACGCCAATCTCCAAGCACGCGAGAACGCATCCCAGTGAACAGTCCTAGGTGTTGGCAAGCCTACATCGGAAAACATACCATGCGCTGAAATGTGGTGTACCGCCAATACCCGGTGACACCTCTGTCGTGCCCTGTGAAACATGCGACCGTGCATTAGTTACCGCACATACATGCCACACGGCAACATGCTGGCGTGACGTATTAAATAGTAGATCACACCCCCTGGATCGATCTTCGAAGCTCGACTGCTCCACAGCGAAGTGGACGTGAGAGTCACACGATACGTTGTTCGGAAAGATCTCGGCGAAGTGGTCCCAACGTGGCCGTCATTTTTCGGTCTGAATGCTTTCTTCTGTTGTGGGGTGATCGAGTTTTAAAAAAAGAGTCCTGAAAGGTGGCTGTCAGCTACGGCGTGCGGTGGCTGCAGCATCAGCCTACCAAATACTACAGGCACGCACATGTTCCTCACCAGCGATCACAATTGGCGCCCACGACTCCTTTCGCAGGCCGAGGATCTTCTGCTTGACTTCCCACGTGAACTGCTTGCCAAATTTGCCCACGCTCTGCTGCAACGACTGCGACGAAAGCTCCTCTGTGTCGAGCAGCGTGCCTGCGCGACAACAACTACAGCAGTCAATGCTGCTCTTCACAACGGAAGCGTTTACGACTCAACAGAGGCGAGACTACACGAAAAGAACCATCGTGTGGGAAAAAGAGGACTGCAAAACCCGTGCAAATTACAGGCCGACTCAACAGAGGCGAGACTACACGAAAACAACCATCGTGTGGGAAAAAGACGACTGCAAAACCCGTACAAATTACAGGCACGAGATGTTGGATTCAACCCCCCAGGATCTGTCGACGAAAAGGCGAGAGGCGCCGACGACATGTGCGTCGTCCTGGTAAGCGGCGGAACTGGTAAATTAACATGTGTGGCATTTCGGAAGGACGTATCGGAGCTCACCGTCTAGGTCAAACACCACCCCGCGAATCGGTTTGTCACTGAAGGCGGCCATTTCCCTTGCGGCACACGTACTATCTCTCGACGCTCTCCGGTGCAGTGTTCGTGGTGGAGGATGGACGCTGACACGCTGACGAGTCGGGCTCTATGATAGTCGGGCAGGGTAGCCGATTAGACCGCATGCTGGTTTGGTTTGGTTCGGAAAGCCGTTCGGATATGCAGCACACCAGTGCCGACGTGCCGAACAGGTTCCCGGCCTTACCACAAGTAACCAGAGTGACTAGGCCACTTGAGTGCCGGAGCACAGGCTACTACTAATGCCGCACAGGGTCCTGACTAGTGCTGCGCCGGCGTCTGAGTCCTGCAAATACTTTCTTTCGCCATTTTCTCCGATGTATGAAGTTGGTGTGCGAGCAACTCTCCGGTGAAACTGCTGGCGGTTTGCTTCACTGCAAAACACTCACCTGAGTACTCTCCCCCCACCCACGCTCGAAGCACTGGAGGAGACAAAAACCTTCTGGCTCATCTCAAGACAAAAAAAAGGCATGATACGTATCTACGTCCTACCACCACCACCACCCTCGTCGCCCTCGTTACACCCGGCTACGTCGACTGCGGAGGGTCTTCTCGTTGATCTTGCTGCACGCTATGTCGCGTTTGCTCGAGCCGATATCGGTCGGGGGTACCCGGCATCAACATGTTTTTCGAGTTTGATTCTACGTCACTAAGCACCGACCGATTCTTGATTTCTCACAGAGGTGTGGAATGAGCCCATCATCCGTTAGTAGTGGGTGCTAAAGGCAACGTGATGGCTGAAGGGTATGCGGCTTGCACGGTCGAAAACGGTTACATTTTCCAACGCAGCCTTCTTAGGTAAACGGGGGCTGGATAGGTGCATGTGTGGATATAAGCAGAGGCGAGACTCGCGCCGGCGCGTGCGAAACCCACAATACAACAGTATAATTCCCTCCAAAGTTTCTCGTCGACCTTCGTAGAACACGGATCTATGCACGTTCTTGTTATCAGTCCTGAAACAGGAGGGCCAACAAAAACCGACAGGTACGTGATGCATGTTGAACATTTACTTGTTACTCTGTGGTATCGAGTTTGTCACAACGAGGAACCCACGAACGACAAGAGCTGCGTGATAAAAAAAAAATGGCAAGTATTAGCTGGGTGTAAAGATGCACGCATGCCACCGCAGCTTGCACGAAACGTTTCGATACTGTTTACCATCCCTGCCTCTCTCACAAATAGGACAACGACATTTGTTACAGCTACCGGCGCAAAACTAAGCACTCTGGAAGAGAAAGGCATGCGGCAATGGCATCCCTGCAGACGCCCGCACTCGAAACAAAACAACACAAACAAGCCCAGCACATCCACTCCACCGTTCGCCGTCAAGACTTAAAACGCACCCCTCCGAACTGGGTTCCTCATGCCGTTCCCTTCTTGGTGGTACCATGTGTTTTCTAAAAAAGTGAAACTACTCCATTGGCATATCGACCCCGCCGCGAAACGACCGGTACAAAGCCTACACGCTTAACCCCCTCTACACACAGAACTCTTCATCCTTGGGATTTCCCTTTCGGGCGGGGACACACACACAATAACATCTCCGAAAAATGTTCCGAAACTCAGGCCGGCTACACCGCAAAGTCAAAACGACAACAAATCTCAACATGGCGTCGTTGCTGAGACTAGGTCCTTCAAGTTCCGCCTGCTGCTGCTGTGCGTGGGCCGCCAGCAGAAAATGAAGCGACCAGACCCCCCCGCCGGAGAGTTAATCCTTCATGATGGCAAAAATGATTTAGCTGAAGATGCCGCCGAAACCCTGTGCAGTTTGACAGGACACGGGAAAGGCCGAAATAAAATAAATAAGTCGCGTGCATAGACGGCAACCGCGAGAAGAGCACACAGGAGCACATGTGCAGGAAGGAGCACACACGCGAAACACAGCTGTATTTTAGAGTCACAATGAACGGACATGCTGTTTTTGCTCATGTGCGGTCTAGTGCTACTCTCACAGGATCTCTCGACAGGAAGACAGGGAGCAAAAGCAAACTCGCCGAACACCTCAGCAACGTGACGCGGGCCTTATCGTATGGCAAACCATCATGAAGCGCTTGGAAAACTAAATAATACAATTGAATTAGCTTCTCCTGAAGCAACGGATTCAAGCGTTCAACCCCTGCCCAGCCGCAGAGCTTGCGTATGCACGTATCCCAACAGGCAATCTTGCTCAAGGTTCGAAACCGGACAAACCTTGTTTCCCTTGCTCTTCTTCTTGCTGTCCTTGACTTTCCCGCCCGCCTTCGTTTGGAGCTCCTCCAACAATTTCCTCTCTTCCCCGCTCACGTCTCTCGGGATGGTGACCTTCATGGTGACGTAGTGGTCACCACGGACCTGTAGCAGCGCGAGGGGTGTGTGTGTGTGTGTGTACTCATAGTCGTGCATGCCGTAGTCGTTAGACCATTGACCTCGCATCCCTACAAGGCCGGGACGGAGCACGCCGGGTTCTCACCGGACCAGGCTCGAGGGGGGAGGT